CGACAAAGCTACCGGAGTATTGAAAGTAATGCATTCCTGAAAAATTCCTCTAAAAAAAGCTTTAGTGATTGGCGATTCATTAAACGATCTTACTTTATTTCAAATTTTTCCCTATTCAATTGCCATGGGAAATGCGGTGACGGAACTGAAACAAATTGCCTTTGCACAAACGGAAACGGTAAGCAAAGACGGAGTCGCAAAAGCTATTGCTCGATATATTTCGAAAAAATAAAAGAAAGCTTTTATTTTTTGACTCGAAAAAAAACATTTTTTTTCGTTGGTTTGGAAAAATATTTTTTCTCATTTTAGAATAGAGTAAAATACTAATTAAATAATTCCTGTTTTGCGGGCTTGTAGTTCAGTTGGGAGAATATCTGATTTGCACTCAGAAGGTCAGCGGTTCGAATCCGCTCAAGTCCACCATTTTATTTCTTAATTTTGCTATCATTGTGTTAAAATATTGGTGAAAATGAAACCTAAATCAATCAAAAAGAAAACTGATAATGCGGTTTTAACCGAACTAGTAGTTGAATGTACGGGCAGCTGCGGGCAGGCCACCACTGGCTTTGTTTGACAAAAAGGCAGTGGCATTCCCGAATTGGATTATACGCAGGGAATTGTTTCGCGAAAAGGATATGTTGGCAAGGATTTATTTCTCGGAGTAACCGGAGTTTATGGCAACTTTACCGGGTATAGGTTAATCAAAACGGTTAATCTAACTTTGGGCGGATTTTATCCCGCAAAAAGCGCTCCGGCTCATTGTAATATTCATGTTGACATTGCCTTTAAGTTTTTTGTGTGAAAAGTAACGGTAACTACTCCGTGTACGGCCAAAGAAAATCAATTTAAATTAATGCGGGAAACAAAATATTTTTGAATTAATCCGGTGAAAACACTTTGACGATATCTTACTTGAAATACAAAAAAAATGACTCAATTTAAAATTCAAGAACTCGAAAGAATTCGTAAGCAAAATCAATAAATTCGAATTTGTTTTTTGATTTTTTGTTAAAGAAAAAAAATAAAAATTTAAAAGTTTCTATCGATGAGGAAAGCCTTTTTTACGAAGAAAATAATAGATACCGCCGCACAAAATTAACAGTCCTAATAAGGAAGCGCCGATGATTCCCCCGAGCACAACGGGATTACTTCATAACGAGTCGGTGAGAATGATTTTCCCGTCGTTCATAATTCAGTTATAAAGTGATTGTAAAGTCAAAAAATCATCGGTCAATAAAGTATTCGTGATTAATTCTCCTTCGGCATCAAAATTAGTTAAATCAATTCCATGCGGAAAGACAAAACTGTCATCATGATTCCCGGCATTCTGAGCGGTCCGAAAAGCTTTAATCTTACTCTTTAAGTTCGACTTTTTATTTAAGGCTGAATTAATCTGTTCAATTTCGGCATTTAATACCGCTCGCTCTTTGGCCTGAGCATCAAAATTATCAATTCAATTTGCAATCAATTGGAGTCGACTCATTTGATTAGCAAATGTGTTTTCGGATGAGGAATCTAAATTTCCTTGTTTTACCGCAAATTGAACTGTTTCTACATTTAATAATCCTTTTTCGTCAAAAGCATTTAAAGTTAATCCGTCGGGAAAATTCGAAAAAATTTGTGCAATTAATTCCTCCGTTGCGGCAACACTCAACGATTGAAAATTGGCCAGTACTTGAGTTTTCTTTCGATCATCATTTCATGATTTAACAACCGCTGTAGTTTGACGATTATAAACATTATCTCCGGCATTGAGGCGCCCGTTCGCGAGCAGAAAAACATTCATATTGTTTTCAAATAATCAATTAGCAATTTTCTTGCAACTGGCAATTGTTGTAATCGAATCCAATAAATTGTCTTTTAAATCAACATCAATTAGTGATGCCGAATCGCTGGGATCTTTAAAACTGTCAATCGATAGGTCCGACGGAAAAAGAAAGGCCGCGGGATAGTCGGAAAAATTCTTTTTTTCTTCAGCATTCATTTTAAGATACAAAAGAAGAGCATGTTTTTTACGATTGGCAGCGACACTGGCATCAATTTTATCTCAAAACTTGATCATCGTTTGTTTATATAAATTTAACAAATTAGGATAAATGCCTGCACTATCACTGGCGGGAGTAAATGTTTCCATTCATGCTTTTGCTTGGGCAATTTCAGCAAAAGTTAGACTGTTGAAAATGTTTGCTTTGAGCGTTCCATTTAAATTAAAACTGCTTAAATTCAGTCCAATTCCTCGCATTGAGCGTAATCAAACCGAATCCCTGGATGGGAGTCCTCAAACAATCTCTCCGCTTTCTAAAGTAAATTCATTGGCTTTTTCCACAAGATGAAAGAGAAATAAATAATTTGCCAGATAGGTTCGTTTGATTGTTTCACTGGCTCAATAGTTGATCGTGTTTTCTCGATACTGAGTGAGAATTTTTTGAATATGAAGATTGCGATTTTGATTAAAAGATAAAATTCAAGCCGGTGTGAGAGTTACATCGGGTAATTTAGCCCCCGACGGAGCGAATCAATCGGTTAAACTAGTATTTGCGGGCAAATTAAAGGCATTTGGATAATCTGCCGGAAGATTGTTTCCCAGAAGAAAGTAGTAACGAATGATTTCGGCATTGCTGTTACTTCAACTTTCAACCGCTTCCGTATCGGGATTAATTAAAGCGAGATGATCGTCAATTTCTAAATTAGCCATTCAATATCATCATCGCACCAGTTTCGCCAAACTGTTAAACGAAAAAGATAGTTGATTGCCGGTGAAAAATGCCGATGATTTCAAAGTTCCATCATCATTAAAGTTAGCTATTATTCATTCATTTAAGGCTTCGTCTGCTCAAGTGCTTAATTCATTGGGAAAAGCAAACTTTCCAGGGTAATCAGCGGGTTTGAGATTGTTTTTTAATAAACTTAGATATGTGGAAATTCAACTTCGTTTTTGCGCATATGCAGATTCGCTATTTCAAGCCGTTAAAATTTTTGCATGATAATGAAATTCGGAAATGTTTACATCAAGATGATAAATTTTACTGATTAATTCTAACAAGGTTTCAATTTTATTCTCTTCCTCGGGAATATCGGTAATTAAATTGTTTAAGTAAGTTTCTCGAATTGTTGCATCGCCATTAAAAATAGAGGAAATTTCAGCAAATGCCAATCGACCATAAGTTGGAGGAATTGTTTTAAGAAACAAATAATAAAAATTGGGCAAATCAAAACTTCAATCTCCGCTATGCGTTAGTATTCCTTCATCATTCAGCGGTAATTCATGTTTCAATAATCGAATACTATGCCGAATTGAAGCAAATTGTAAACTGTTTCAAAGATTATGAATAATTTTTTTTAATTTCGCGATGTCATTATCGCTACCCGTGAAAACATGAGAAGCGAGAGTTTGATGATTTTTTACTCAATTTTTAAACTGTTCCAATCGAATAAGTGTTCAAGTATTTTCATTATTAATTGCAGCATTAGCAACCGGATCCCCGTTGGAATCGTTTCAATCAATTCAAGCATTATTATCGTCAAATAAAGCAAAAACATTTACCGGATCTAATTCACCCAAACCAAGCAAAGTAGCGAAAAAAGGTTTTAATGTCGCGGAATTATCAAAATCTTTAAACTGATTTCAAAGTGTTGAATAATGTGCAATATTGGTTCGTAGTTGCAAAGTTTCGCCATCATCTTTCATTAGTGTTTGTAGTTCGATTTTAATTGCCTTTCGCAGATTTTGGACCACAAGAGCAAAAATTGTTGATTCATCATTATCCGCAACGGTCAGATGAGGCTTATTCGCGGTTTGTGTATAGTCTTTCACATTTAATAATAGCATTCAATTCGCAATCGCTTGTACTCCGTCTAACTGGGCCTGCGAAGAAGCTGAATCTCACATTTCGTCCTCAAATAATGGTCATTTGCTCTGCGCATATTCGGCAGGAGTTCAATCGCGATGATGAGCAATTAAAGTTCCGTCAGTTCTAAAATTATGATATGAAATTAAGTAAAAATAATTTGGAGCATCGGCGATTGCTTGAGCCCCCGCAAAATAATTGACCTCATTCTCTCCCGAACCAGTTGCATAATAGGAATTGATATAAGGAAAACGAAAGCCGGTTGTNTCATCCGCATCATCATCCGCGGCATCATCCGCGACGGCATCCGTAAAATATTCATTCGCTCCGTTTTCTCCGGTACCATACGAAACGATTTTGGGTGTTTCGGTGGCCGCGGCCGTATATGAATTTAAATTGACGGGTGAAACTCGTGATGTATCAAACAGCAGCGCTCGACTGCCCGTAATCGTAAACGAAATAAGCAAAGCAAAAAATAAAAGAAAAGATAGAGACTTACGAAAAAAATGCTTGAATTGAGTTTTCATGCAAATGATTATTAATTCTGAATTTGACTTTGATTGTACACGATTTTAAAAATATGTCAAGTAAGAGAAATATTTATTTTGTCAAAGAAGTGTTTTTTCGTAATTTTCAAAAATACAAAAGAAGGAAAACGAATGCGCATGCCGCAATGCCGCCGACGATGCTACCAATAAGCACGGCGGTGGAATGACCGGTTTGTTGTGCTGGTGTCGCCGAAACAACTGGCGAATCGAGAGACGAAGTAATACTGAGCGTTTCCATTCAATGGACTCATCGCCCCAACTTGGCCATACTATTAAAACGACTGGCTAATTGAGTCTCCGCAAAAAATGCGGAAGTCTTTAAAGTTCCATCAACATTGAAATTGGCGATCATTCAATTATTCAGAGATTCAGTTTCTTCGGTACTTAATCCGTTAGGAAAAGCCAAACTTGTCAGATAGGCCGAATGCTCGTTTTTGTTTGAAAGTTTTAAATAATCGGAAATGAGTTTTCGTTTATTCTGATATGAATCATCATTTCAGGCACTAACAATAGCAATTTGATATTCAAATTTGGAGGCATTGACATTAATGTGAAAAATCTTACTGCCTTCCGTTAATAATTTTTCAATTTTTTCCTTTTCCTCGGTCATATCGGCAATTAAATTGTTTAAGTAAGTCTCTTGAATTGTTCCATCGGCATTAAAAATAGAGGAAATTTCCGCAAACGAAAAAGTACCATAGTTAAAAGGAATTGTATCAAGAAACTCATAATAATAAGACGGTTTGAGAGTTATGCTTTCCGGAAATGATTCGCGAAATACTAAGATTAAACTATTTCGCACTTGAGCAAACTGGTCACTTTTTCAATTGTTCAAGATTATTTTTTTTAATTTTTCTTGATTGGTGATTCCGGCGTCAAATGAAGACGACGCGACGAATTGATGTTTTTTTACTCAACTTTTAAATTTATTTAACTTGACTAATGTTCATTTACTTGCATCGTTAATTTCTGCATTAGTGATCAATTCACCACTGTCGTTTTTTCAATCTACTCAGGTACCGTTGGCGGTAAACAAAGCAAAAACTTCGGTCGGATCTAAATTGTCAAAGCCAAGCAAAGCAGCAAAGAATGACTGAAAATCATTCACATTATCATAATTTTTAAACTGATTTCAAAGTGTTGAATAATGTGCGATATTGGTTCGTAGATTTAAAGTTACTTCATCTTTCAATAATGTTTGTAATTCGCTTTTAGCATCGTAACGAAGTGCACGACTCACTTGGCCAAAAATTGTATTATCATCATTCTCCCCAACGGTCAGATGAGGCTTATTCGCGGTTTGTGTATATTCTTTCACATTTAATAATAGCATTCAATTCGCAATCGCTTGTACTCCATCTAACTGTGCCGCCGAAGAAGCGGAACTTCACATTACGGACGCGAATAATGGTCATTTTAAATGAGCATCTTTCGTGGGAGTTCAATCGCGATGATGAGCCATTAAAGTTCCGTCAGTTCTAAAATTATGATATGAAATTAAGTAAAAATAATTTGGAGCATCGGCGATTGCCGCCCCCGCAAAATAATTGACCGTACTCTCTCCCGAACCCGTTGCATAATAGGAATTAATATAAGGAAAACGAAAGCCGGTTGCNATCCGTAAAATATTCATTCGCTCCATTCTCTCCGGTACCATACGAAACGATTTCGGGTGTTTCGATGGCTACAGGCGTATATGAATCTAAATTGACGGGTGAAACTCGTGAAGTATCAAACAGCAGCGCTCGACTGCCCGTAATCGTAAACGAAATAAGCAAAGCCAAAAATAAGAGAAGAGCAATAAATTTACGAAAAAAATATTTGAACTTGAACATTAAACTATTTGTGAACTTTTAACCTTTATCTGGATTATACCAATTTATGAAAACATTTCAAGAAAAAAAATATTTACTGCGAAAAATTTTTCTTTTTTCGTCATTTTCAAAAATAAAAAATAAGTCAAAAAGAAATCATACAAGTCGCAAAACCGCCGACGACACTGCCGATAATGATGGGATTGGAGGAGAATATCAACAGCGATGCATGAGTGGAAACATCTAACTTTATCATTCATTTAACTCAACGAACTAATTTGGTTAATGTATCAAAAGAAGTTTCTAAAGGAGGGTCGGTAAGAAAGGCGGTTGATACCAATGTTCCGTCGAGAGAAAAAGTATTGCTTAATCATAAATTTAAATTTTCGGGACTGAAATCGGATAACTCATTCGGAAAATTAAATGAGTTCGGATATTCGTTCATGGTCGAATCTTCTCGAGAAAAAGAATTCGTTTTGTGGCGATGCAAATAATCGGCGATTAGTTTTCTTTTTTCCTGATATTTCGCGTTTGTGTTTCATATTTCGATTATTTTGTCGCGATATTTAAGTCAAGTAATTTCCAGATTGATGTGAAATAATTGATCGCCAAAGACCAACAAATTCAAAATGGACTGTTGTTGAGTAGCGGAATTCGAATCATCTAAAAAGGTATTTAAATAACTCTCTTGAATCAATCCAGACAAATCAAAAATTTCGGCCAAATCAAAAATTTCCCCAAAAAAGGAAGGAATACGATCTTGATTCACGTAGAAATAGGTGGGCTTGGGATCAAGTTCAAAAGCAAAAACTTTTTTTAATTCGGACAGTAACGAATCTAAACTTGAACGAATGGCGGTAAACGATGAAGAAGCTCAAATTTCGGAGATAAGAGTTTTCAGGGAAGCAAACGCGGTATTCGTTTCTACATCAAATGAATGATCGTTATGATATGCATGTTCTTTAATTCAATTAAGAAGAGTCGTTAAACGAGAAAGAGTCCATTCGCTTTCATCGTTAATTGGTTTATTTCTCATTATGTTATTTTCCTCATCTTTTCAGACATCCAGTTCGCCATTGGCGGAAAAAAGAGCCAGTGTGTCAGCGGCACTGAGTTCGGCAGGTAATCTAATTATCGAACCGAAAAGAGGCTGAAAAGAATCAACATTTGAATAAGTGGACAAATCGTTTCAAAGAGATTTATAATCCTGTAAATTGTCTCTAAAATGAGGCAAAGTGTCCGAAAGAACGAGGGATTCTATTTCCGTTTTGATCGCATTCAAGAGATTTGAATGCAAAAGAGACAATAAAACCGAATCTTCTTCGTTTTCGGGTTTTTTACTCAAACGAACCATTCAATTCGCGATTGCTTGCAAAGCTTCGAGTGTTTTGGATCTAAAAGAAAATCCGGGATAATATTTGTCTTCGCTAACATTAACTCCACCGATACATCCGACACATTCAGCATATGTAATTGAAGCTTCAGACACGGCGATTTTTCCGTTCGGAGAAAAGTTATTCACGGATAAAAGTGGTACAAATCGACCATTCTGATCTTGTGTGGACGGTCAAAAGGCAAATGCTGAAAGATTAAGAAAAGGAAAATGAAATCCGGTCGCGGAAAACAAATAAATAACATTTGCATTTTGTTGTATACATCCCGAATCAAATTCGGGTTCAGTTTCAATTATTAAGTTTCTCTCCACATCATTCAATTTCAAATAATTGGAAAAAAGATTTTGCTTACGTTCGGCATTTAAATTGATATAAGTAGTGTCGCCAAATGTGGAAGTTCCATCATTTCAATACTCGTGAATAAAAGTTAATCCTTCTTCAATCGTGGTAAATCGAGGAACACTTGTGTAAGCAAGATCAGTGCGTTCGATGCGGTTTGCTTGATTGAATTCAATTACAGCATTCAGATTTAAAGGTTCAACTCGCATACCGGGATTCAAATTATTCGGACATCCTCAAGTTAATACTGCCGGAGGACTGCGACCCAATGATATCGCTTCGTGAAAACCTGCGGATGAAGTTGCCGTCGTGAAAAAACTCGAAGAGTTTTTATGAGAACGAAAAACAAAATAAATGCCAAAACCAAGAAAAAGAACTAATAAAAAACTTAAAAATAAACGAATTAAATCTAACTTACGAAACATGAAAAAAAAGTTTTCATTGAATTTTATTCTTTGTTTGAATCTGATTAAATTATATACTATTTATTAAATATTTTGTAAGTATTAAAATTTTATATTCTACACTATCATAAATAGTTCTTTTTAAAAAATGAAAAAAATATTTTTTTGTGAAAAAGAAACTAAGTTCTGGAAAAAAGTTATTGGAACCGGCTATTGATTCCTTTTTTTTATGCTAAAATTGCTTAAAATAAAGAGAAAATAAGGATGTTTTCTTTTTCGAAACGGGAAGTGGCTTAATCTGGTTAAAGCACTCGGTTTGGGACCGAGAGATTGCAAGTTCAAATCTTGTCTTCCCGACCATATTAATTCATTAAATCAAAAAGCCGAAAAAAAAATATTTTTAGATTCCTATAAAATACTAGGTGAATTGACGGGAAGGTAGCTTAATTGGTTAAAGCATTCGGCTCATATCCGAAAGAGTGCGGGTTCGAATCCCGCCCTTGCTACCATCATTTCAGTATGTATTGATGAAAACAAATTTTTCGAAAACGATAAAGAAAATTCGAACTGATGCAAAAAATCGAAAAGACATCGGAAACCAGTTTGAACTTTTAATTAAACGTTTTTTCGAAAACGATAAACGTTATAAAAATGAGTTAACTAAAGTTTGACTTTGAAAAAATTTTCCGGGAAAAGATTCGCTCGGAAAACAGGATATTGGAATAGATTTAGTTGCTAAAACTAGTGACGAAAAATACTGAGCAATTCAATGTAAGTGTTGAAAAGAATCAATGATAATCAGTAAAAAAACCGTGGATACTTTTCTCGCGACATCGGGACGAACATTTACTCTCAGCGGTTCATCAAAAAAACATTCTTTTGCTCATCGAGTATGAGTAGAATTAAACAATAAATGAACAAAGCAGGCAGAAGAAACGATTAAAAATCAAACTCCGGCTATTTCTCTAATTACGGAAAATATTTTGAAAAAAACAAATTTAGATTGAATGAAATTATATGAAGGAAAAATTAAAGATCGAATTCAAAAAACGACAAGAAAATATCAGCAAAAAGCCATTGATTTAACACAACGTTATTTTCAAAATTACGATAAAGGAAAATTAATTATGGCATGCGGAACTGGAAAGACTTTTACCGCCTTAAAAATTGCGGAAGAAATGACAAATCACGAAGGTATAATTTTAGTTTTGGTACCTTCAATCGCGCTGGTTAGTCAAATTTTCAACGAATGGTGTTGCGATGCGAAATATTCGATTTCCCCGATTATTGTTTGTTCGGATAAAACCACAGAAAATCGTGCCGAAAATGAGGATAATATGCAATATTCCATCAGCGATATTCCGTATCCGACAACAAATGAAGAAAATATTGCCCACGAATTATTTCAAAAACTTAATTCAAAAAGAAAAGGATTAAAAGTAATATTTTCCACTTATCATTCAATCAATGCCGTTGCCGAAGGTCAACGGCGATTGAATGCCGAACTCAATGATAAGGGGGGGGGGGGTCATTTTTGATTTAATCATTTGCGACGAAGCACATCGCACTACGGGATTCAAAACCAAAAATTCGAAAAACTCTTATTTTAATCAAATTCATAATACTGATTTTATTCGCGGTCGTAAACGATTATTTATGACGGCTACTCCACGATTGTATGATGAAAATACAAAAAAACAGGCCAAGCTTCAGGAAACTATTCTTTGATCGATGGATGATGAAAAAAATTACGGAAAAGATATTTACCGATTAACTTTTTCCGATGCCGTAAAAGAAAAATGATTAACCGATTATAAAGTTGTTGTTCTTACCTTAAATCGTACTTTAAAACAAAAAAAAGAAATTCAAAAAGACTTTTGTATGAACAAGTATGCCAAACTGCAGGGATTAATTAGTGCCTTTTCTAAAAAATTTCTTTCTGTTGCCGACATAAAAGATATTGCCAAAAATGATCCTTTACCAATGCGAAAAGCTCTTATCTTTAATTCTCGAATCGAAGATTCAAAAATAATAGCCGAAAAATTAGAGAAAATTTCAAATAATATGACAAACTCATCTTTGCAAAAGATCGAAGCTAAGCATGTTGATGGAAGCGATAGCGGTCACCGGAGAATGCAAATTCTGACCTGATTGAAAAAAAATGAAAAGCAAAAAATTACACGAGTGGTAAGTAATGTGCGTTGTTTTAGTGAAGGAGTAGATGTGCCCGCTTTGGATGCAATTGCCTTTTTATCTCCCAAAACTTCGAAAACTGACATTGTTCAAGCGGTTGGGAGAGTTATGAGAAATAGTAAAAACAAAAAAATGGGATATATTATTATTCCTGTATTTATTCATTCGGAAAAAAAGTGTATAAAGAACTTGAAAAAATTCCGGAATATAAAGTTGTGTGAGATGTATTAAATGCTCTTCGAGCTCACGACGATCATTTAGATTGTGAGATTAATGCTATTCGCTTTAACAAAACAAAAAAATGAGAAAAAAATGACAAAATTATTGTTACTTCTCCGGAAGAAGAAAATAATTTCCAGGAAATAAATGATTCAATAAATGATTACAAAAACGAAAAATTTTGAGATTTTAAAAATTGAATTTTTGCAAAAATATCCGAAAAATGTGGAAATCGTGGATACTGAAAACGCTGAGCGGCAAAAGTCGCCGATCATTTAGAATCCGAAATCGAACAAATTCAACAATTAGTCATTAAAAAACCGGAAAAATTTGAAGAATTCCTTCAAAATTTAAGAAAAAATATTCGCGAGTCAATTGATGAAAAAGCCGCCATTGAAATGCTGGCCCAGTTTATTGTAACTAAACCCGTTTTTGATGGTCTATACGAAAACTATTCTTTCGTTCATGCAAATCCAATTACCAAAACACTCCAAAAAATTTTAAATGAATTACAAATTGACGAAAAGGCAGAAATAAGGATTGATGAAAGAAAACAATTTAAACAAGAAATTAAAGAATACCTTGAGAAAATTGAAAGTTTTGATGGAAAACAAAAGTTTATGGAGGAATTTTATGAAGATTTCTTTAATACGAAAGGATTAAAGAAAAATGCTCTGCGCTTAGGAATCATCTATACTCCCTCTTCAATCGTTGACTTTATTCTTCAATCGGTTAATGATATTTTGCAAAAAGAATTTGCCCAAACAAAATTAACAAGTAAAAATGTACACATTTTAGATCCCTTTGTAGGTACCGGTTCGTTTATTGTTCGTTTAATTAAAAATTCAAAACTCATTCATCAAAATGTTTTAAAACATAAATATATAAATGAATTACATGCTAACGAAATTGAGTTGCTGCCTTATTTTATTGCCAGTATTAATATCGAACAAACATATCGTGCCCGCATGAAACAGCAACAATATACATCTTTTAAAAATATTGTTTTCACCGATACCTTTGAAGTAAGTCGTTCCGATCAAAAATTAACAATGTTTGAAGAAAACTATAAACGAAAAAAGTTGCAAGAAAAGCAACCCATTCAAGTTATTATCGGTAATCCTCCTTATTCGGTAGGGCAAAAATCCGAAAATGACAATTTTAAAAATTTTGAAAATCCTGCTGTTCGACAGAGAATTAAAGAAACCTATGCCGCAACGGCAAAAAACAATAATATTAAAACAATCACGGCCCTGTATGATTCATATTTCAAGGCTTTTCGATGAAGCACCGATCGATTAAAAACGACAGGAATTATTTGTTTTGTAAGCAATGGTAGCTGATTGACAAGTGCCGCCGGAGTTGGATTTCGCAAAACAATTGAAAAAGAATTTAGTTCCATTTATGTTTTTGATTTACGTGGAAATCAATATACAAGTGGCAAACTGTCAAAAATGGAAGGGGGTAAAGTTTTCGGGGGCGGATGCCGAACATCAATTGCAATTACTTTGTTAGTAAAAAAAGAGAAATCGGAAAATAAAAAAGCAACTATTTACTACCATGATATCGGTAATTATTTAAAAAGAAAAGAAAAATTAGACAAAATTAAAACCATCAAAAGTTTTGTGAATAGTGTCTTTTCTCCTTTATTGCCTAATTTCTGCGGTGATTGACTTCATCAAAGACGACCTTTTCCTAAAAAGTTTATTCCCTTAACTTTGTCTAAAAATAAACCGTTTGATGCTCTTTCTTATTTTGAAATTAAATCCGGCGGTTTATTAACATCGAGAGACGGTATGGTCTATAGTTTTAGCAAAGAAAAACTCAAAAAAACAATAAAAAAATTTGCCGAAGATTGAAAACAAGTAAAAAACGACTATAAAATGAAAAAAAATAACAAAAATTTTAATATTGATAATTTTTGTTCAACGAATTGAAATTCAATAAAATGAGATCCTAAATTAAAAAATCATCTAAAAAAAGACAAAATATTCTCTTATAGTTCAAAACAAATAAGAATTGGTCGCGAAGACCTTTTACAAAACAATTTTTATATTTTAGCGATGTATTAAACAGTAATATGAGTAAAACTCAAACTTATTTTCCAGACAAAAATAGTCAAAACAAAATAATTTTTATTAATGGAAAGGGACTTCAAAATTTTTCTTGTTTAATCACAAATTATATGCCAGATAGACATTTTATTTCAAATGGGTTCGCTTTCGCATTAAAGGATAATTCACAAAATTTAAATCAAAATACACAACAAAATCAACAAATTTTTTCGTTTTCCGATAAAAGTCATTTCAATATTCAACAAACAATAATGAATAAAATGAAATCGATATACGAAAAAAACCCCAATTCGGAAGACATTTTTCATTATATTTATGGTTTTCTGCATCATTCAAAATATCGAAAAAAATATGCCGAAACTTTAAAAAAAGAAATGCCTCGAATTCCTATTTTAAAAGATGAAGCGTGTTTCTGACAAATAACAAAATACGGCTTGGAACTATCTAAGCTTCATTTAAATTATGAAAATTTATCAAAATTAGATTCCGTTAAAGTCAAATACAAAAAACCCTTGGATAAAAATATTTATAAAGTTCAAAAAATCAAATACGATAAAGAAAATAAATCAAAAATTATTTTTAATAAATACATTGAGATAGAAAACATTCCGGAACATGTATACGATTATAAGATTGATGGCAAAAGTGCGCTCAAATGAGTTCTTGATCGTTATGAAGATCAGGGAAAAAATCAAAATCCCAATGATTATGCCGATGAAATTAATAATTCAAAGTATATTTTAAATCTTTTATTAAGTGTAATTACTTTAAGTGTAAAAACAATAGAAATCATGAAAAAATTAAAAAACATTAAAATTGAACAAACAATCGCCTAAATAATGCTTGATTTCAACAAAAAAAGATTCAAAAAGAAAATACACTTTTTTTACAAAATAATGAGCAATCGAATAATTTTTTTTACAAAAAATGACAATCTTAAAATTTTTCAAAATTTCATAAAATTTACAACTATTTATCTATTTTATGTGAAAATATATAGGTAGGAATTATTTGGTTCCTTGGCTCAGTCTGGTTAGAGCGTTCCGTTGATAACGGAGAGGTCGCAGGTTCAAATCCTGCAGGAACCACCATAAATTTTATTTTTTTCGTGAACGATATCAATAAAAAATTCCGCTGCTCAAAACAAGTAAAAAAAACAAACTGCCGAAAACAATAGCTAAAATAATGCCGAGAGAAATACGATTTGACAGATGAATTAAATGATTTTTTCAATGAAAAATTTTAATATAGTCTTCAAAGCTCAAATCAGTAATACTATCATCATTTAACTCTCCCGTTTCCAAAAAATCCTCCAGAGTTAAACCGCCCGGTAAGGAAGATGGCGAAAAATCATCATTTTTTTTGGCCTTCGCGATATAAGAACGATGATTACCCGATAAATCATCATTTCAATGAGATAGCAATTTTTCTCGCAGTGTCTTCAAGATTGTAGGAACATAAAGAGAAGGCTGAAAATTTCGAATTCAATTCTCAATCGCTTCCATTTTCGCAAAAGTATCAATTGTTGTCGGTCAATTGTGAATTTCTCCGGAACCGGAAAATACATTTAAATCAAACCCAGGAGGAAACTCAAAACCGAATTGCATTGACGCTTCGCTTGAAGTTTCGCCGGAAAGAACGGGATTGAGAACTTTTAAAATTCAATAATTTTTTAACACATTGGTTTTGCTTTCATCATCGTTTCAAAGCGAAATCAAATTATTTTTTCATAATCGAAGAATTGAATCAGTATATTCCGGAATCAATGTTTCAAACTGAAGGAATCAATCTTGAAACGTTAAAATTTGTTCTATACTGAATTGAGTAAAATCACTTTCTCTTAAGGCTCCGGTATCAAAGTCAAAATTATTTAATCCAAAACTGTTTAAATTCGATGGAAAGGTAAAATCAATTTCTTCGTTTTCCGATGGCATCGGTGACAAATCTAAATAACGTCAAATAATTTCTTTTTTGACTGGGTTATTATTTCAAAATTGAAACAAAGTCGCTCTTAAAACAAGAATCTTAAAATTTGACGGAAAAGTAAGAGTTTCTAAAAACTTTTGAATATGCACTAAATCAATGATGGAAGCAAAGAGAAGAGAAACTCTTGTTAATCTTCCGTTGAGGGCAAAATTTGTTAATCTAAATTGATTTTCATTTTCAAGAATCAGAGGAAAGTTCAAAACTTCCGGATAACCCGACAAAGGAGAAGAAAGAGCTAAATAAGCCGCAATTTTATTTTGTCGTGCGGAATTTTCGGTTTGATTTCAATCACGCAGAATTAAATCACGATAGTTAACAATAATTCGATTTAAATCTAAATGATGAGCTCAATTAACAAAAGAATCTAACAAAGATAAAGTAATATTCGAAAATAATTGTTCAAATTGTATCGAATTCAAGCGACCCTCACCATCAAATAATAAAAGCGAAAAAATATTGCCGGGAGAATTAATTTTTGGTCAAAGTTCGGGAAATTTGTTTTCCTCAATTGCTCTAATTTCACCAAATTGATTCCGCAAATTTCGAAAATATGAATCGGTGTTTCAATATTTTTGAACCGCGGCATAGTAAACATTCACAATACCGATCAAATCAAAGGCCTCCGATTCGCGAGCGGTCTTTTTTCATCGTAATTTATTTCTTCAATGAACAAACATACCGATTTGATTCAAATCGGTTAAATAAGCGTTGGCCGTGAATGAGGTAATTCATGCATTTTCCGAAGAAAAAAAATCATCATTTCATCAATTAGCGAGAAGAGCAAAAATATTTCCGTGATTAACGGGTTTTCAATTTAAATTTAAATAATTCTTAATTCAACCGCGAGCAGGATTGATTTCGCTTGCACTATTTCAAAAACTTACTACTTTATCTCTGAATTTACTCACTAAGCCTACATTTTTAAGCGCGGTTAATTCGTTGGCTAATTGTTCCAACTCTTCTAAATCATCAAAATTTTCATTATTGAGAATGTTCTCTTTTAAGAAACCATTCAATTTAAAATCATCAAAATCCAGATTCGTTAAGCCGAGATTGGGCTGGGCTCAATCAGCTTTGTGAGTGAGAGGTAAAGCCAAATATTGAGCTATTTCCGCTCGAATTCTCGAATATTTGTAACTATTTCATAATTGATAAATATTAAATCGAGTTTGTTCTCGAATAATTCAATCGGCTTCTAAATTTAAATATCAGGTAAATCATGAATCAATTGTATCTTCGCTTACCGCTCCTCATCTATTCAAACCGGAGTAATCACCCGCCAGAAATCAAAGCGCCGGATTAGTTCTGAAGGTACCGTCTAAATTAAAACTGGAATCACTGAGTCCTGAAGGATAGAATAAATCGAAACGTAGATTTTCGGCATGAGAAAAATAAAACTCAAGTGCATTACGACGAACGGAATAAAAATTAGAAGCACGAATTTCATCCACCATCAGACAAAATAACACTCACTTATAATCTACACCATAAAAATATGATTCGTGAGGATTTAAATCCTGATAATATCGAATTGTTGATTTAGCTAAAAAACGTCCTAAATCCCATATATTATGAATCTCTCCGACCAAAGTTGATGATTCTTTTGATTTTCATCACTTTAAATATCGAAAATCTCAGGTTTTTGCTTCTAAATCGGCTTGATTTTCTCTATCTCATTGATTATCCCCATCGGCATCTAAAACAGTGGCCTGAGGATTTTCGGGAGCACCGGATAACGATAGAGCCCGCAAACTTTTTATATCTTGATTCGGATAACTTTCATCAATTAAAAAATAAAATTTGATTGATTGGCGTTGTCATACGGTTGGAGTCATGGGCGGATTTGCGATTCGCGGACGAATTTCAAATAAATAACCTTGAAGATTAGATGAAAGTTGAGGAGCTCCGGCAAGCGCTTTTTGACTTTTCGTTAAAGTAATCGACAACCCGCTTCTTGAATTGCCTCCCGTAACCGCGGCTTTAATTTGATTGGGTGTAATTTGAAGAGGGGGAGATAAATCATTTTTGAAAATTCATCATCCAAAAAAAAGAATAAAAAAAACCGCACACAAAAAACAAATGATTCATGTGTTCAATTTTTTTTTCATAAAAAAAAATATTACTAATGTATTTGTGTTACTGAATACATTATATTAGAATCAAAAAAATAATCGATAAATAATGTCTAATTATTCAACATAATAATATTTGAAATCGCAAAAAAAACACAAAAACTTAAAAATAATTTTGATTTTTTTTTTCGATTCTGTTATTCAAATAAACGATATCAATAAAAAACTTCTTTCCTTAAAATCATCAAAACCGTCATTTTGCCTCAAATACCGTCTAAAATAACTCCGCAAGAGACACTGTTTTGTGCCGAATTCATCCACTTTTTCTCAATCAATTCTTCGGTTTTCGAAAAATCATTCAAAATTAATTCTTCGAGCAAAGCGAGAGAAACATTTAAATGATTTTTCGTTTTTGGCAATTAAAGAATGCTGATAAGTTGATGACGATTCGCACTGTTTTGGAAAACAAAATTTCAAATTTTTTTTTGATTTGTTCGCTTTTCAATTCACGGCTACAAACTAAATAAAAATTCTCTAAAATAATAAGCAACCCAAATACGGAGACATACCCAAGTCTGGTTAAAGGGAACTGTCTTGAAAACAGTCAGACGTGCGATAGTGCGTGCGGGGGTTCGAATCCCTCTGTCTCCGCCATTTTAAACAAAATCAATTTTATTAAAAAAAAAATCTTTTTTTAGTTAACTTTTCGCGAAATTCGCTTTTTGAAGAAATAAAAATAAACTCCATACACGAGAATTAGAAAGACACAAAATCCGCCGATGGCGCCGCCGATAATCGCACCGAGAGACGAACGAGACGGAATTAATGAATCAATTGTTCAAGTACGTAATCGCCCGAGATCGTCGAAATTCAGTTCTTTTGATACTAAACTTGCTTGTTCTAACTCTCCTTGATCATTGAAATCACTGAGAAAATATCCGCTTGGTAACTTAATTGAATCGGGATTATTATCAACTTTGGCTTTCGCAATGGCTAATCTTCGCACATTTGCCTGTTCATTATCGTCATTTCAATAATTTAACACGGCGACTTGTTGATGAGCAAACAGAAGGGCGGAATAGTTATTCGGATTAAAGTTTGCCACTCAATTTTCAATTGCCGTAAGCGATGCAAAATAAGTACTTCAGGTAAGGATTGAACTTGCATTCGCGTTAGCGACATTGAAAACATATTCGCCAAAACTAATCATATCGGAAGCACCCGAGGATGAAATAATCGGAAACTCATTCAAACTTGGAATATCAATAAGTTTGCCATCGGCGGCGAAATTATTGAGCGAAAGAAGTTGAGCAGGAAAATGAAAATTAATCACCGGAACGGATTCTGAAGAAAAGGTTTTA